CGAAGGTAGACAATTTTATTGTCACCTTTTCCATCAATCGCCATAGCATCATCCATCTTCTTGAAGAGACTAACAAGCTTGAATGTTCCAAACTCTGAACAACAGAGCGGCCTTCTAAACATTTTCTGGTACTCAATAGGAACTCGGGTAAAAGGCAGACAGCCTCCCGATAATTTAAGCAACTTCACCAGCTGTCCTTTCAAACCATTTATATCTCCGGGCTGCGCCAACTTTAGTTCTTGAGCACGCATGAGAGCTTCAGAAGGCGAAATAAAGCCTTCCCCACGAGCCATACTAGGCCAATCACAAACAAACTTACCAGCATTGCATAAGGTAGAGGAAACGCTTATGCCAGATGGAACACCAAGAATGATGGTATAACCACGCTGGCCCAGACTGTGAAGAGCTGGAGCAAAATCTACATCCCCTGAAATCAGCATTATTGAAGATGGTGGGGGGTTGTCAAGAGCAAACATAAACATGTCAAGCAAGATAGCCTTGTCAGCAGCATCCTTTCTTCCATTTGGAACATCAATGAGTTTGACACCAGTTCTCTGGCAACCCTCTCTAAGGCGCCTTGTAAAGCAGTTAAAATCTCCATATGCAGAGAACATGGTAATGGGCCCTTTAATCAAAGGATGCTCTCTCAGAGCGTTTCTTATATTGGCAGCTACATCATCAGGGCTAACGTCACCTGGTACGGGGCAGTTTTCAATATCCCAAAGTATGCCAATAGGTCCAGGCCCTTTAATCAAAGGACGCTCTCCCAAATCCTTTCCTATATTGCCTGCTACATCGTCAGGGCTAAGGTCACTTGGGACAGGGCTTTTTCCAGTATCCATATGCATACGATGAGCATGTCTCTTGGTAGCTAATGGGGCCCTTCTCAACAAAGCCTTTCCGATTTTTGTAATAAGTTCTTCAATGGAAGCATTACTTGGGACAAGGTGGTCTTCAGTATCAGAATGTATGCCAACAGGGTCATCTGAGCGGCTTCTGTTTTGTTGGTTCCCAGCAGGTTGAAGCATGTCAAAGTTTGATTCTATCAATGTTGTTTCATTTTCTTCAGTTGTTGTAGTAGAGACTACAGCTCTTGGTGTACTTGGATCATCCATCAGTATTTGATTAGAAAATATAACTGCAGAGAATTGAAAACATAAGAAGAATAAGTAAACAGTTGCAATGCCATGAAATAAAATTTCTCATCAAACTCCAAACCAAATCCATTATAGTTGCAACAAGAAAATAATCCACTACAACATCTGAACAAAAGGAAACACCTGCGATAGATTCAAACTTGAACATGCTTCAACTTGAAGCACATTCAGGTTTGAATCTCTGCAGGTGTTGCAGCCAGAGGCTATAGCTCTTGGTGTATTTGGATAGTCAATCAATATTTGATTAGAAAATAAAACTGCAGAGAATTGAAAAGATAAGAATAATAAGAAAATGACATAAGGATGCAACGCCATGATATGCAATCCCGAAGAGAAGGAGGAGTAGTTAGAAAATTATTATTAGAGAAAGCAATCTTGCTTGAACTGTAAAACTATGGCCATCAATGTAAGATGCTCCATCCCATATTTAGGGGTCTGCTCGTCTTCAATGGTTTTGTTTTTATTTTGTTTACTCCAGTTAAACCAAAGTTTTTGGACTAAAGTTTGCTATCCTGAATCAAAATTTAACAAGGTATGCAATGATAAATAGATTGGAAACTTTAACATCACTGTAACACGTCATTAAGAAAATCAATCAAGGACCATCTTCCCAGGTGTAAGGAAGAGGATTAAGCTTGGTCCAACTAAGCTAAACAAGAGGTAATCTAAATTTATTAAAACATGGGTCCTTTTAACCTTCGGCTATTGTCATGTTATCACTTTGGTTAGAAAGTTTATTTCCTTCCAAATTAATCTAAAAATTTCAAAAAATATCTAAACGGTCTATCCATCAAAATTTCATAAGTTTTTCTAATAAAGTTGAACTTTCATTTTAGCACCCATGTGGAGTTGGTAACAGACAACATTAATCTAAGAAAATTACATTTCAATAATTAGAAGTGGTGATCAAACGGCAAGAGCTATTATCAATTGTTAAGGATGGAAAAAGTTGATGAAAGAAGAGATTTAAGGTTGATTTTGATGTGAAATTTCATTAAGAAAATTATCAAAACTTTACCGACTAAATTTTTAATATATACGTTCGGAAGTTTGCAAAACAAAATTTCCAAAATATGATAACAAGTCAATAATTAGGAATCAAAACTGGGAAGGGGATGGTACCCAAGGAGAATTTTCGAGGGAAGAAAATTCTTCTGTCGTCCCCAGCCCGCAAAAAATTTGATCCCCTGTCTCTGCCAAAGCCTTCAGAGGGAAAAGTTTTAATAAACTTAAGAAGAATCATCACTTCATGTGAAAAAGATTTTTCACCGTTGAAGATGGTGACTATCACTCGTCATTTTTAAAAAAATTTAAAACCATAATTTTAAAAATACCATCATTCTCAATCAAATTATTCATGTTTAAATTATATTTTTTTCTGAGGATCTAACATCTATGACTATTTGATTAAAATAGTGTATTTTTTAACATATAATTAAAAGTGTTAAATTTTGTGTAATTAATTAATTAAATATATTCAAAGAAAAATTATTTGTACACATTCGATTAAATACATTTTTTTGACATATTTTCACTCGGTTCAATATTTTTTTGACACACTTTTCAATTTAATAATTAAAAATATAATATAAATACAGTTGACTCAGTCAGTTTTTACATTTTATATGCATGATTTTATTTTTAAATTTGTCTGTCTTTAATTTCAGATCAAAAAATAATAATTTTTTAATGAGTATATTATATAATATATTAAATAAAAATATATACCGATCATTATCCATATTCAAAATATTAACTATATAAAATGATTACTACATATTAGTTCACTACTTTGCTATAGGAATTCAGTTCATGATGAGATGATTATCATTTTCCCCTTTTTATGTAAATAATCTACGGTGGTAAATTTTACTACATTTATATGTATATATATATATATTTTAAAACCAAAGGAAGTCGATATATCAAACAAACGCTCTATGCGCGGGAAAAGTTGCGGATAAAAAATGCCCTAACCCTCGCCCGCGGGGAGATCAGGTCCATCAGGACCACGGTAAGGACGATGTTTTTTGACTGACATCTCTATCATTAATAATGAATAATCAAACTATCTCCACTCAAAAATAATTGTTCTACTTTAATTTATTTAATTTTTAATTTTTTAAATCTTAATTTCAATTAATGTGAAGAGAAATGACATAGCTCAACCTAAAACAAACGGAGGCAGTAATTAATAAGCCAAAAAAAATAAAATTAACCGCTCAAAAACATAACATATTATAACGAGCGCGCAAACCGATATCAAAATGCCCAATACTGAAAAATAATTTGACAAAAAAAAAATGATGAGCTTGAATGTCACACTGAAATGGTCGTGCAAGAGTTTAAAAAACGAAAAGTGAAAAACAATAGGAGAAGAAATTAAGTGGAGGAAACGTGCCTTGTTCGACCGACTTGATTTGTGAGAGGCTGAGAGGTAAGGAGAGCAATGGAGAACAAGGAAGAGAAGGAGTGCTGATTCAGGCCGCCTTTTTTGCCAGAAGTGAAGGAAAAACCTGGAATGCTTTTCTCAAGGTTTTGAAGCGCTTAAATAGTTGATAATAAACAAAGTAAAAATATATTTTATTTATTTAAATTAGAGAAAATTGCACTTACCATATATTTGTAGTGGGGTTGGTGGACAGTGTACTTAACCCAAATTATAAAAAAATACATTTATTTAAATTATGAAAATTGCCCTTGCCTTATTTCTTTTAAGGTTTTGTTTGGTTTGATTGTAGATGTAAATTAATTGATAAAATAATTAATATTTATTATTTTACAGTTTAAAATTAGCATATAGGTTGATTTTTCTAGAAAATCCTATCTAGCTTTTTTTTTTTTTTTTTGGTAAGCAATCCTATCCAGCTATTTAAGGAGTAAAAGTTATAAAATAATAAAATTAGCTAAATAAAACGCACCCTTACTCTTTTGTTTATGTTAGGGTCAAAACCAATTATAGTCCCTCTACTTTCAATTTTCATTCATTACCTTTCTTATACTTACAAATCATTCAAAGTTCTCCCTCTCCTCTTTCAAACCATATTGTTGTCCTCCCTTTAATTTTTCATTACATTTACCTTGTTCCCCTAACTCTGTGACCTACCTCCTCCCATTTTCTCTTCTCATTTCTTCCCTCATTTTCTCTCTTCTTTTCTCTTTCTCACCATTCTCTTCTATTATTTAATTTTTAGAATATTTGACAGTGTTAATTTCAATTTTTTGTAGGAAATATGAACAAGAATTGAAAAGTATGAGTTTTTTTTTCTTATATTTTGGTACTCATTTAATTATTATGTTATTTTTTGCAATTTTAGTTTTTATAATTTTTTTACACCATTAATTCATAATTTTTTTTTTGTAGGACTTGGAGAAATAAAGATGTGTGTTTACTTTTGATACTTTTTTCAATTTCCTATGTGTTGATGTTATTATTTTGCGTTAATTTGTGTTGATATTAATTATTTTAGTGTAATCAATTTATGTATTTTTTTTAAAAAAATTGAAGTACATTTTGTTGTTTTCATTTATGTAATTGTAATAAATCTAGTAATAATATATTGGTAAAAATTAATACTTAATATTTTGTATTATTTATTTATATATGCATATTATCTATAGCAAATTTATATATTTTTGCAACTATAACTATTATTTAGTACGGAAGATCAATTAGAAATAAAAGTAAATAAATATTTTTACCTTTTTTTTTCAAAGCTTGACGGTGGATGATGCTATTTTTTTGGGTGTGATTTCTCTATTCTTCTTGCTTAGTATTTAAGATAAGTTTTTTCCAATCAGATGTTCCAGACAGATCGATTATCTTTTCAAAATAATTATTTTTAGGATGGATTTGTAGTTTTAAAGTATGCAAACGATTGTACATAAAGGATTAATCAGTACCTTTGAAAATGCGTGGATGTGAATAACTGAAATTGGTAGCTTCTAGGACTCGATTGAGACAATTATAAATGTGAGAATGCAATTGAAATAAATTGCAAAAGTGAATCCAGTTGAAGCAAGTTTAAATCATGGAGTATATTTGAATAAATTAATAATTATTGGACCAATTTGACTTATATTGAAATGGCATCGATTAAGTTAAAATTTTATTAAACATGGGGGACATTTAATTAAAGAAAAGCAGTTTTAATTACATGACTAAAAATAATTTTATCATTTAATTAAAAGGAAAATAGACTGCTAATTATTGGACACGGTTTGAACCCCTAATATTGGGGCTATCACCTATCCAATAATTCATATTTTATAATTTGGTAAATTCAAACTAAAAAACAATTCCCTAATTAAAATATATTCTAATTGTTTTTTTTTTTATTAGGGCATATTCTAATTGTTTTTGGATTAAATGAAATAGCAGAATAACAAATATCATTTTTTTTTCAGATTTGGGCCATCAATGGGCTTCTTAAAGGCTCACTCATTTTTATTCAGAAAAAAGGGTCCAAAAACTTCCTTCATCTTTTTCTTCTTCCCTTTTTCGGGTGAACCCAAAGGACATGAGTTGGGTGGGCCTTCAGAGGCTCAACCCATGAGATGAAAAAGGCAAAATAAACGGTCAAGCTCCATGTTAGAGATCTCCCACTTAATTGAAAAAAATTGGTTTAATTTGGTCCAGTGCTCATGAGTTTGGATGTTGATGTTATAAATCTCAAATTTGAATTGGTTTTTAAGGCTTTCAATTGAAAAAAAATTGGTTTAATTTGGTTAAGTGCGAGTTTGAATCTTCATAATGGAGATTTCAAATTTAAATTTTAATATCAATGAAGAGATTTTGAAAAAAATTAATTTTTATTGTATAACTCATCAGAAATTAATTGGTTATTTCCAAAATGAATGGAAAGAGTTTGGGCCGGGTAACTAGGACAAAAGCCCCACTAGACATCCAAATTGGGCACTTGTTAGTCTTGGGTCAAGGCTTATGGTGTAACCCATTATTACAACGAAATTAATCTAAAGTTTGAATTTTTGGAAATGCCGACGATAAAATTGTAATTATGAATCTTTTAAATTTCAGTGTAGATGGTCTGGCCTTGATCAAAATCAGGAAGAAGTTAGTTCAAAAATACAAGTTAGCCGGAGCACCATAATTGTTAAATCAAAAAAAAAAAAAAAAAATGGTATGTCATTAATCAGAAAGCATATGCTGCCTCTTCCTCTGTCAGAATCCCAGATGTTCTGAGAATATCAATTGCCCTAAGTTTTTGAAGAGTCTAATCCCCGACAGGGGAGATAGTCACACTGTTGGCTGTTGAATGAGTTTGCAAGTTGATCATCATCTAAATATAGTTCGTGGGATAAGGATCCTGTTAAGATGTGAACATAATTATATTTAGAATTATTGTAAATATTTTATACTTTATAATATTCTCTTTGTATACTTTATACCTTAGAATATTCTCTTTGTAAACACCTATATATAGGTCATTGTACATACAGTATAATTCAAGAAAGCAATAAACCTTTCTTCAGATATTTCTCCTTCTTTTTCATTTCTAACATGGTATCAGAGTTATAAGCTCTTGGTTCTTTTCTCTTATCATCGCTGTTGGGTTTTTTTGGAGTTGGATTTTCAATTCCATTCCAGATCTAAAACTTTGTCATTGGGATCTCTTCTCATACAGATTGGATTGTTTATCCTCGATTCTCAGACTCTTTCTGAGGTATTTTGTTGGTTTGTTATTTCGATCTTGGCATCTATTTCTCCATATTTTTAGAGTTTTTTAGTATTGTGAGTTTACTGATTCTATGACAAGTTTTGAAAGGATTGTAACTCATCCTGCTACTGCTACGGTTGCCAAAGAAGTGATAGAACAACCTAATGTCAACCTTGAATCCCTAAAACAGGTGATATTAAATCTTTTTAATGCTCCTACTGCCTTATCTACTGGTCCGGGTACCAAACCTTGGTATTTCGATTCTGGTTGTTGTAACCATATGTCTTCAATTACTGCTCATTTCTCTTCAATGTTACCTAATAATTCATTTCCTGATATTTATTCTGCTGATGGTTCCCCTATGAATGTTAGTCACATTGGTAATGTTTCTACAAAGTCATTGACTTTACCAAATGCCCTTTTAGTTCCAAAACTTAGTTATAATCTTCTATCTGTCGGTCAATTATGCGATCTTGGTCTTGAAGTAACATTTTCTACTCATGGTTGTCGTGTGCAGGACCCACGGACAGGACAACTTCTTGGAACTGGTCGCAAGGTGGGGCGTTTGTTTGAGCTCAACTATCTGCATATTTCTGATAATAAAATGGATACACCATCATTTCCAAATGATAGATTCATCCAAACCCTGCTTTGTGCTATTGAATTAGAGTCTTTGCAAATTCCATATCAACAAATCCTCCAAGTCTGTGCTGCTACTAACATTTCTCCTATCCATTTGTGGCACTCACGACTCGAACATACCTCTGTCGGTAAACTTCATCCACTTATCTCTCGTGGTTTATTAGGATCAGTTCCGAATGAATCTGTGCATTGTGTGTCATGTCAATCTGCAAAGCAACCAGCTTTATCTTTTTCGAGTAGTCATTCTCATTCTACTGCTCCTTTTGATCTTGTGCATTCTGATGTTTGAGGTCCATCTCCTACACCCACCATAGGGGGTTCTAGGTACTTCGTGTTATTTGTTGATGATCATACTCGTTTTACCTGGATATACCTTATGAAAAGTCACTCTGAATTATCACAAATTTATATTGATTTTGCTACCATGGTCAAAACCCAATTCTCTAAAATTATCAAAGTTTTGAGAACTGACAATGCTACTGAATATCTTGGTACTAAACTTTAATCTTTTTTGAAAGAACAGGGTACACTGCCACAACAATCTTGTCCTTATACTTCTAAACAAAATGGGCGAGCCGAACGCAAACACAGACACATCCTTGATTCTG